GTGCCAGCGAGCCCGGTGCAGGGGGCAGCTGCCAGGCCCGTGGGTGGGGCCGGGGGAGGGGGGGCTGGCAGGGCCATGCCGGTTTCCGGGGCCCCGCGGCTGCAGAGGAAGCTGTCCCAGGACATGACACTGGGTTCAGCCCCGCTGGGGCAGACAGGGGCTCCCCAGGGGACTCATTCAGACCATGGGGCAGCAGCTGGGGGCTACCGACGCTCAGCCAGGACAGGAGATGGGACGGGGCAGACGAAAGGCGGGGAGCAGAAAGAAGGGCTTGCGGGGGCACAGGAGAAGCGGCAGAGGGCTGGAGAGCCAGGGGCCAGGGCCAGAGAGGGCCGAAGGCAGGGGAGCAGCAGAGGGGTAAAGCCACGCTCCGAACTGGACCCCCGGGAGCAGCGCGAGGGCCAAGGCCGTTTCTCCTGGGAAGGGCTGGGCTGCCCCCGGTGCAGGGGCTGGAGTGGCCATTCTGACCGAGGGACACGGAGCCTTTCGGGGACAGCGGGCATGGAGCGCGGTGAGAACAAGGACTGTGTGCGGGGGCTACGCCTCGGGCGGGGACGTGGGCAGAGGCGGTGAGCACAAGGACTGTGTGCGCGGGGGCTACGCCTCGGGCGGGGACGTGGGCAGAGGCGGTGAGCACAAGGACTGTGTGCGCGGGGGCTACGCCTCGGGCGGGGACGTGGGCAGAGGCGGTGAGCACAAGGACTGTGTGCGCGGGGGCTACGCCTCGGGCGGGGACGTGGGCAGAGGCGGTGAGCACAAGGACTGTGTGCGCGGGGGCTACGCCTCGGGCGGGGACGTGGGCAGAGGCGGTGAGCACAAGGACTGTGCGCGGGGGCTACGCCTTGGGCGGGGACGTGGGCAGAGCAGGTGGGCACAAGGTTGCTGTTACCAGCCGGCCCCCAAGTGGGGAGCTAAGTCAGAACCCGAAGCGAATTCTTTTGAGTGACCCATGAGGGAAACTGAGGCCAGGAGCGGGCTGTAAGGAGGTGCCCCAGAGGAGGCCAGGCTAGCCTCTGGGGGCGCCTCCAAGCGGAGAGCAAAGGCTCACTCAATTGTCAAAGGACAGAGCCACGGTCCGTAGCGAGATGGGACAGGCCCAGTCATGGGGGCAGCAGCAGGATGGCAGCCAGCCCTGCCATGGCCATTGCCAGCCGAGAGGCCTGGCGCCGCCACCTGAGCTCTGGGCCGGCAGAGCAAGGCGCACGTGGTCCCTCCTTTGGCAGATCTCACAGCAGAACCCTGGGTCTGGGCTGACCCTGTGCGCTGAGCACCCAGCTGATTAGCAGAGCACCCACCGCTGGGTTGGTGCTCCTGTGAGTGGTGCACATGCCTTGGTGCACATCAAAAAATTATTCCACCCCGGATGGAAAAAAATCCGCCTTTGGATGGAAGAAATGAGAGGGGCCATGGGCTATTAAAATCTTTGCCTTTTTCCCTGGCCCGATCTGAATCATCCCTGTGCTATCAGAGGGCTGGCCCCAGCAAGCCAATAACGGGGATGGAAATTTCCACAGCACCTCACCCGGGACGTACTGCCTGGCTGGCATGAGGCTCCTCAGCCATGCTGGGCTTCTAAGGCAGGAAGGCAGCGCATTGTAAAGCCCGCAGAAACAGGAAACATCACAATGGTCTTCAGGCACCGGAGATGTCTCAATTGTTACACTCAGCAGTCCGCCTGTTCCTATTCGGTGAGGTGGGAGAGCGGCTCTGCCAGGGGCTGGTGTCACCTCGGAGAGCTGCTGTCCTCGGGAGGTCGCTGGGATGCCGGGGTCACCCACAAGTGGAGCTGGATCGGGGGGTTCGGAGCGTGGGAGAGGCTGAGTGCAGAGGCTTGGGGTGCAGGCTCTGGGAGGGAGTTTGGGTGCAGAAGGGGCTCAGGGCTGGGGCAGGGTTCAGGCTACAGGCTCTGGATGGGCACCGGTTACCTCAGGCAGCTCCTGGCCCGTGGTGTGGTGGGGCTAAGGCAGGCTCCCCCCTACCCTGGCCTGGTGCCACCCCCAGAAGTGGCTGGCATGTCCAGCAGCGGCTCCCTGGGGGGAGGGACAGGTGGCTCCGTGTGACAGACCCACCCAGTGAGTGTGGGTGACAGACCCACCCTGTGAGTGACAGAGACACCCAGTGAGTGTGGGTGACAGACCCACCCTGTGAGTGACAGAGACACCCAGTGAGTGTGGGTGACAGACCCACCCTGTGAGTGACAGAGACACCCAGTGAGTGTGGGTGACAGACCCACCCTGTGAGTGACAGAGACACCCAGTGAGTGTGGGTGACAGACCCACCCTGTGAGTGACAGAGACACCCAGTGAGTGTGGGTGACAGACCCACCCTGTGAGTGTGAGTGACAGACCCACCCTGTGAGTGACAGAGACACCCAGTGAGTGTGGGTGACAGACCCACCCTGTGAGTGACAGAGACACCCAGTGAGTGTGGGTGACAGACCCACCCTGTGAGTGACAGAGACACCCAGTGAGTGTGGGTGACAGACCCACCCTGTGAGTGACAGAGACACCCAGTGAGTGTGGGTGACAGACCCACCCTGTGAGTGACAGAGACACCCAGTGAGTGTGGGTGACAGACCCACCCTGTGAGTGTGAGTGACAGACCCACCCTGTGAGTGACAGAGACACCCAGTGAGTGTGGGTGACAGGGAAACCCAGTGAGTGTGGGTGACAGGGATATGTATTGCCCCTTTATGCTAAGCACAGTCAGACAGAGGAGCAGCTGCCAGCCAGCTCCCTCCAACCTGAGCCCTGTCGTGTCCCCCCTCTGTGTGAATACTGGCTGCAAGGGTGGGGGTTGGGGGACTCCCTGACATCAGCACCCCCCTCGTCTGCCTCCCCCACCCGGCCCAGCAAGCAGGAGGCTCCCGGGTGGTAGGTCTACAGCAGAGGGTAGGAACAGCACAGCAGTGGGGGAAGGGCAGCTGAAGTGCCGGCATTTGCTAGCCTCCTGGCCGAATCAGTCAGGCTCCCCTCAGGGTCCGGCTGTCCTGGCTGGCGCCCACTGGCCTAGTGACCGAGCTCACTGGCAGACAGGTCCTGGAAACAGGCCACGCTAGACACGAGTGCAAAAGAAACGAACATACCATGTGACCCGTGTCCCCAAAGCAGCTCAGATAGTCACCGTCCAGAGCTCGCAATGCACGGGCACAAGCAGGCAGCCAAGACCCATTCCCAGAGATTTCCAATCAGCTCGAGAACATCACCCGCCAGCCAGGAGAAAAAGTCACAAACAGGAAGAGGCAAAGGTCACCCGGTAAATCATTCCTTGGGAACAACAGCCCCGCTCCAAGAACGCCCTCTGGGTTCCCCTGCACGGGGACACCAAACAGCAGGGCCCGAGGCCACGGGAAGGTGGCCAGTTCTGGCTGGACGTGTTCCTGGAGGTTTCAGCAGATGCTACGATCTCTAAGGAAAGATTCAGCTCAAATTCCTGGAGACTCCAGGACAATCCTGGAGGGTGGACAACCCGCATCTACAGCACGTTCGGGCTGGGGCCGGAGGAGAGATGGGATGGGAATACGGGCAGTTTACCGGGTCCACAGCACCTCACAACTCCACCCCCAGAATGTCAGCCACTCCCTCGCCCTGCCCGAGCGGGTCCTCCGTCAACGAGATGCCCTCGTTAGCACCAATTACACAGCGGGATGCGCGCGAGGCTCGCCAGGCCACGGTCCGGGGCAGCTGTGGGCTGAGCCAGCTAGGAGCAGGCCAGACCCTCCACGCCGTATCTACCATCTGCCCCTCAGGTCTCCGTCGCCCCTTCTTTGCTTCCCGCCCACCCCCAGTGCCAGAACCAGGTTTTTTGCACCCGGGGCGAAATGTTCATGACGCGCCCCTCTCCTTAGGGTAGCCCGCGGCGCGCGCTTTGCTTTTACAGCGTATCGGCTCTATTTCTCACGCCTTCGCGCCCCTGATCACGAGGGGCCCGCCCCGCCCGCCACCTACCAGCCATGTCATCTCCAGCCTTGGCAGCTCCCTCCAGGGGCTACAGGCTGGGGGGCTGCTCAGAGACGACTGCATGTGTCCCGCTCCCCAGGTAGGCTGGAAGGAGAGGCGTGGGACCGGGTCACGGAAGGGCCTCCCCGCCTGCTCCCAGCATCCCCCCTGCCCCAAGGGCTTCAGGTCCCTCCGCTCTGCTGGGAAGAGACCCGCAGGGAGCAGCAGCCACGCCGGGCAGGCGTGTGAGAGGAAGGGTCCCAGCCCGACCCAGCAGCTGTCGGTGCATCAGGGCGAGGACGGGTGAAACCACCCGGGGATGGCTGTGGAGGGAAGCTGTAGGCGGTTGCAGGAGGAAGTGGGGTAAGCAAAGGTCACTCGAGCTTAGTCAGAGGAGCGGCTGAGCCCTGTTCGAGCACCAGAGGGGAAACCTCAAGGCTCCGTTTCCTTCAGGTCTCAGCTAGCCACTGCTGGAAACAATATGGCACCAGGGGGACGGCGCCATCCAGCAACTGCACAGCGCGCAGGAGCCTTGGAGGGCCTGGCCCATCCCCCCAAGAGAGCCTGGCCCATCGCCACAGTTCCCTGGCACCAGAGCTCCTCCTGGAATGTGAGCAGGCTGGGGCCGGTGGCAGGGCAGCTAGGACGGAAGGCTCCCTGTCTGCCCTGAGCTTCTACGGTGTGTACCCGCAGAAGGGGAAATTGGGATCTTCCGAGACGCTGGCAGCACCCAGACAACACAGGGGGCGGCATGTGGCCCAGCTGCCCCCCTGCCTCTGGAGTCAGCAGCCAGAAACGATGCCCAGAAGCCGGGCGCAAAGAAGCTTCTCCTTGCCGGCTCACTCACCCTCTTGGAGTTTGACGCTCTGCAGGTAGAGAGGGTTCCTCAGCACGTTGCATCGACCGGGCTCATCCTCCTTCGTGAAGAGCAGCAAGTCCGAGTAGACAAAGACAGTCACCTGGCGGGTAAAATGACAACAGAGACGGGTTCAGGAGCTCTTCATTTGGTCACCAAATGAAATTAACAGGCAGTAGGTTTTGAGCAATCAAAAGGAAGTTTTTCTTCATGCAGCGTACAGTCAACCTGTGGAACTCCTTGCCAGAGGATGTTGTGAAGGCCAGGACTTTAACAGGGTTCAAAACAGAGCTAGATAGATTCATGGAGATTAGGTCCATCAATGGCTATTAGCCAGGATGGGTAGGAATGGTGTCCCTAGCCTGTTTGTCTAGAAATAAGTGACAGGGAAGGGATTACGTGAGGATTACCTGTTCTGTTCCCTCCCTCTGGGGCACCTGGCATTGGCCACTGTGGGCAGACAGGACCCAGTGTGGCTGTTCTTATGTTCCTTCTGCAGGCAGCCAACTTCATTGCCAAAGAGCCTCTTTCCAGCCTAAAGAGTCATCAGTCCCACAAGTTAGCATGGAACTCCAGGGCCTCCTTTCCAGCCCCAGAGAGGCCAGAGACAGACGGGTAATGAAGACAGCATTTCCAACACGGCAAAACTCCAGACTCCTTCGAACGGCAGGCACTTGGCAGCACCAACAAGAGCTCAACCCATCACTCCTCCCTGCAGTCTGATTCTCGCAGGGGACTTCTGACGTCCCTTGATGGGAGGAATCAATGTGTCCAGGATGTAACAGACGCGGTTGTTGTGCTGGCATGCACTCACACCCCCTGCTCTCTCAAACCCCCTTCTCCCAGGTTTTCACACCCCAGGATGAAGGGCAGAACATGATCTGAGCTGTCAAACTCCAGCCTGGGAGCTTATTTACTCTCTCCGATTGCATGAGAACCCTTCTCTGTGACTCCAACACACCCTGTCCTGCTCCCCTCAAGTAAACACGTTAGCTCTGAAAGAGCCATGCTAATGGAGAACGTTTCCAGGCACTTAATGGTGGCAAACATTGATAATAGGTCTGTCAAGCAATTAAATGAATAGTGAATAACCACACACAAACAATATTAGGATACCATTTCTGTAAATACTATTGGATGTTTTTCATATTTTCAAATATATTGATTTGAATTCCAACACACAATACAAAGTGTAGCATGCTCCCTTCTTATTTATTTTATTATAAATATTTGTACTGTAAAAATAAACCATATTTTTCATATTGTAATACAAGTATTGCAGTGCAATCTCTTTATCATGGAAGTTGAACTTATAAATGTACAATTATGTACAAAAAATAAGTGCATTCAAAAAATAAAACAATGTAAAACGTTAGAGCATACAAGTCCACTCAGTCCTATTTCTTGATCAGCCAATTGTTCAGACAAACAAGTTTGGTCACTGTGACGGCGCGTTGGGGTTTTCCCGTCTCCTGCACCCTTGTAATGGCACGGACAGACTCCACCAAGCAGTAGAATAGAGGGAGTTTATTGCTTCTCCAGGATACAGCACAGATGTCATCTGGTTACAGGGCAGGCCTAGGATGCCTCAGCCCCCCTAGAGATAGGGGAGTCTGGGCCCCTAAATCCCAGCCCTTTGCCTAGGCTGCTTCCTCCATGATACCAGCCAGAAAACTCCCTCACTCACTTCCAGCTCTGCCCCCAGCCAGGGCTCCACTCCCCTTCTTCCCATTGTTCCGCTCCCTAGGAGATAACTGGTCAGACAGGTTCAAAGCCCCTTTGCATAATGTCTCATCCCCTTCCCTGCTGGGCCGTGCTGCAGCCAGCAGCCAGTGCAGGTCACTCACAACCCACTGCCCAGCATAGCAACCAGCAAGGTACCCCCCACTACGTTACAGTCACATTTATGGGGGATAATGCTTCTTGTTTACGATGTCACCTGTAAGTGAGAACAGGCACTGTTGTAGCTGGCAATGCAAGATATTTACATGCCAGCTGCACTAAAGATTCATGTGTCCTATCATGCGTCGGCCATCATTCCAGAGGAGATGCATCCATGTTGATGATGGGTTCTGCTCCATAATGATCCAAAGTGGCTCCACACCAAGACCCTCTCAGATTTTGGAAGGCACTTCAGATTCTCAAACCTTGGGTCAAAGGCTGTGGCTATCTTTAGAAATCTCACATCAGGGCCTCCTTTTTGTCTTAAAAACAGTGAAAGTGCCGTAAAATGAACAGCATGTGCCGGGTCAGCCGAGAACACTCTAACATGAGAGAGATGACAGAATGGGGGGAAAACACAAAGCAGGAGACATACAATGCTCCTCCAAGTAGGTCAGGGACACATTTAATTAACACCTTATTTTTTTTAACAAGCAAGGAAGCATGTCCTCTGGAATGGTGCCCAAAGCAGGCAGGGGCATCCGAATGTTTAGCACATCTGGCATATAAGCACTTGGCAGAGCTGGCTACAACAGTGCCGTGTGAACATCTGTTCTCACTTTCAGGTGGTGTAAATAAGAAGCGGGAAGCATTACCTCTCATAAAGATAAGCAGACTTGTTTGTCTGAGCTGACCAAGAAATAGGTTTCTCTAAAGTTTTACACGCGGCTTTGTATTTGAGTGTAGTTATGTAACAACAACAAAACCTACATTTCTCAGCTGTGCTTTCAAAGAGCAAAGAGATGGCGCCCCAGTAAGTGGATGAGGTGAACTGAAAAATACTATTGCTTTTGTTTATCATGTTTACGGTGCAAATATTTGTCATTCTAATAGGAAGTGAGCACTGTGTACTTTGTATTCTGTGTTGTAACTGAAAACAATCTATTTGAAAATGTAGGTGTGACGGCGCGTTGGGGTTTTCCCATCTCCTGCATCCCCGGAATGGCACGGACAGGCTCCACGAGCCAGTAGAATAGAGGGAGTTTATTGCTTCTCCAGGTTACAGCACAGCATAGATGTCATCTGGTTCCAGGGCAGGCCTAAGATGCCTCAGCCCCCCTTGAGATGGGGGAGACTGGGCCCCTAAATCCCAGCCTGTTGCCTAGGCTGCTTCCTCCATGATCCCAGAGAGAAACTAAACTCTCTTCCAGCCCTGCCCCCCAGCCAGGGCCGGCATTCTACCTTCCTTTGTCTCTCTCCCTGGGGGGTAGCTGGTCGGACAGGTCGAGAGACCCTCTTTGCATAATGACTCTCCCTCAGCCCTGCTGGGCCGTGCTACAGCCAGCAGCCAGTGGAGGTCACCCACAGCCCACTGCCCAGCATAGCAACCTGCAAGGTACCCCCACTACGTCACAGTAGGAAAACATCCCAAATATCTAATACGTTTCAGTTGATACCCTATTGTTTAACAGCGTGATTAAAACAGTGGCTAATCACAATTAATTTTTTTAATTGAGATTAATTTTTGAATTAGCCATGTGAGCTGTGACTAATTGACAGCCCTAATTGAGACTTGAAAATATTATTTTGGCTGCAGATGGGATGCAAATATTGCAAAATACTGAAGCTCCGCGCCTTAGCGTCTTAACTCCCCTAAACTCGGTGTGGAAGCCTGCTACATACTTATGGCAGTAGCTACGGAAATGGAAGGCAGATTTTCTTCTGTGTTTGTACAGCTCCTAGCACAGCGTGGCCCTAATCCTTAGGGCTCCTAGGTGCTGCTGCAATAATAATAATAAATAAAAGAATCGGCTCATCCACCACGTTGGACTGCATTATTTAGATGTTAGCATCTCTCGCCTGCCAGCCAGCGTATGGCTTGGCTTGGTTACAAAAAAGCACTAGCTGGACTCCGAGCTTGCCCACATCTCAGCCTGGGATGAAGAGGAACAGGAGAGAGCCAACCTGCTGCAGTTTTCCCGGATCGCCCTCTGGATAAAGGCCAGCAGTTGTACCATACCTAGAGGGGCGGGCAGTGGTAGACACTGCTACTGAATGATGCTGAGTAACCGTGACAACAGTTTTATGGCCAAACTTCTGGCAACTTATTCCCCAAAGCAGAAAATTAAAACACCCAATGCTTTTCGTAGGGTTGCAACAGGGAACCCCCTTGCTGCCTTCGCTACAGCCCTGCCCCCATCACTCCCTGGACTGCCCGCTGTCCAAGGCACTGACCGAATCTCTGACTACTGTCTGGTTCTGAGAGCTAGGCTGAGGTAGAGAATTGGCTGATTTCTCTAGGCCAAGGGAGCCGCACGGCCCTTCTTGCAAACAGGTTTGCTGGGGAGTTCTCAGGAGTGCCGAATGGCGACCTCACTTGAGCTTACTACTCAAACAAGCATGGCGTTTGCTTCCCCACACACACGCGCTAGTCTCGGCTCACCCCGGGGGTTTGGCTTAGTTATTAACGTAAACACCCTCGCGGTAAGAGACTGAGAACAGACGATCCAGGTCTCTTTCTCCAAACCGGCCGTTACTTTACTCGCTTTTCTCAGGCTCCCTCTTAATCAGCTCCTCTTCACAGTCCCAATCTCAGTCTGCTCAGTCTCTCTTCATGGGAGGCTTTTCAGGCCCCTCCTCATCCTAACACCCTAGAGCCTGCCACGCTCCCCAGGAACATGCTAGAGACAGAACATGCTAGAGAGAGATGTCCCTTCAAGCCCAGTTAATACAATGGAAAAGTATGTCCTTTAAACTAGATGGGGTGGAGAGGGGAAGGTGCGGGCGTCTCTCTGAGGTGGGATGGCAGGTGAGGGGGAGGGGAAGATGGAGCGTCTCTGAGGTGGGATGGCAGGTGAGGGGTGGGGGAAGATGGGGCGTCTCTCTGAGGTGGGATGGCAGGTGAGGGGTGGGGGAAGAAGGGGAGTCTCTCTCAGGTGGGATGGCAGGTGAGGGGTGGGAG